AACTTTTTGACTCACTATCTACAGACATTCGATTGGAACAGTTACAGGATGGCTCAAGATTCAGAATTCTGATCAACCTGTATCTGTTCCAATTACTTCACCAAAAATTTCAAATTATGTGGAATGCGAGAGAGAAAAGATGGTTTAAGATTCAGAATTCTGATCACCCTGTAGATGTTCTAACTTCTCCACCACAAATTAGAAAATATATGGAATGCAAGAATGAAAAATAATGAACCAAATAGTTATACTGCACATAGTTCTCAGTGTCAGTACTTTAATAAATTGTGTTTGTTAAGTTTCATAAATAAATTATTTAAAAAAATTACTTGTTATTTGAGGAAGGCTGAAAAATGATCATTGAGATACATTCCAATATTATATTCTTATTTGCAACAAATAACTAACAGCTGCAATGAAAATTTCCTCAATAGGTCGTTGCATAAAAATTAAAAAATATAATTTCACGTTATATTCGAATTCAGTGTCAATAGTGTAGCAATCTAGATATACCTCTTATAGTAACCAATCTAGCACTTCAATTTGGCTGATTGGTGAAAATTATAGAATATGATTTACTAGCGGGTGATAGTGTCAAATACTTCCCACTAGGGTGTTCCACCCAAATATATTCATGATGAATCTTACCAGAAAGCCATGTTGATTGATTCAAACTTTTCACATTTAGTTTCACCACAGCATAGTTAGGTTGTCCTAACGTTTTCTAGTATATATGACTTTAAAGATAGTTTGCCTCTATTCTTAACATTTCGTGGTAAGATTTATTATGAATCTTATAGATCGCACCATTCTCTTTCCGGACGGTTGCCGAAAAAGAAAATTTCACTGGAGATGGAAATAAATTTAATTTTTATGATTTCTGATTGAGCGATTTCATTCATAAGTAGGAAATCTTTGATATATCAGGGATATTTCCCCTTACTCTAAATAAGCATTCCGTGCGAGTTGAACACTATACTTTTTCTATGACTATAAAAGATTGTGTAAATCTCGATTTCTTCGGCTTGTAACCATCTAATTTCATCTTGAGTAATGCTCATGTATCTGACGGAAATTTCATTGCTTGAAATTCAACATTACATGGGTGAGGAGATTTTGTAAATGATAACACAATGAAGTTATTGCGATATCCGATACGGAAATGAAGGTGATGATATAAAAAGCACCTCATTGATTTATCGAACACAGGAGCGATTTTTTGTTGTGCTAGTTCAGAAAATTATGTCATTCCACTTTGCGTTTATCTAAATTTCTAAACAACCACTGAATTCGCAATTTTTCAAAATCAGAACACTGAATGAGACTGACAGGTTTTTGATCACTTCAAAATAATGATAAAGATGTCTGCAAAAAGTTGGAGCAACGCAGGTGTAATCACTTTATATGTTAAAAAACTTCAAATTTCACTTCGATAATTTTCTGATCTTAATTTAATGTAAGATCTTAACACTGATTCATTCTTTTTCCTATCGCAGATAAAAAATAGTGTATTATATGCGGGAAAAATAATTGATTTTTGCTCTCGGTTTCTGGTCTTCGTCGACTACGCGTCGGGAGACAACACAACCTGGAGCTAAAATCTACTACTTTTCCCCCTAGTATATAATAAATAACTATTGACAAACATTTTTTGCTGTTATCTCGTTATTCTTCTAGAATTAAATCAGATTATGAATTTTCATAATGATAGAGTAAAATCTTGAAAGGAATAGATATATAGTTCCATGAAAATCTCTGAACTTTCTGGAGACTATTCAATTATTTCTATACGAGGTGTTTGAAATGAGTACATATATTTATCATATATCAATGGGAGAAATATTCCCGTGTTCTGAAATTCTGAAATTGATTTCAAAGCGAAAAAAATCAGGTACATCACTTCAATATAATTCGAATGATCAAACTCTGCGTCTTCCCTACAAAATCCATACATACGAGGTGTTTGAAATGTGTACATATATTTATCATAGATATATTAATATGAAAAATATTCCCTTGTTCTGAAATTCTGAAATTGATTTGAAATCGAAAAAAAAATCGAGTACAAAAATTCATGCAGTTAGATCGTTGGAAATGTTATAGTGCAATACTTTTGGGCAAGGTCTATCATACATTTTATTATGATCCCTATATGTATTCTTTATTGGAATCATTCGATAGCATACATCTTTGGGATTTATATATTTGTATCCATTTTAATGTCGCTCTGATGAAAATTGACCTATTTTGAGAATGAAGGTAAACAATATTGAAAATATATTACTCACACGTAAGTGGGGAGGCAGCCAGCGGCTCACAGCGCGTTTTATTTGATTTTCAAAATCTGAAAAATAAGGTGCTGATTTTACTATTTTTAATGATTATCGAAATGTTATACCATCGATTTGCCAAATTACCATAATATGGTACATCACTGTGAAACATAAAAATGGTACTGACAGCTTCAAAATATGAAAGTTATTCATGCATATTATTCAAATGTCAATCATATTATTCAAATCTCCTATTCAAAGAGGTGTTTAAAAATCTATAGGTACTCACAATTATTCTATTATAATCATTATAAATATATGTAGCTACTTACTCATTTTTCTTGATACAATGTAGCACAGATAATGAATATCCGCAAATTTCAACGCATATTTATTAAGCAAAGGGAGAAATGGTGGGGACATGGTATGATAATTCCGAAATCATGATTTCTGGCGAAAAGCGCATTTTGTTTGGGTGGGTTATATAAATTGGTGATAATAATTAAATGAACCAAAAATTAACATGAAGTCATTTATTTCTATCAATTTTAATTGAGGCTGCAACATTTAATGAAATCGAAATAAAAAGAATATGCAAAAATCAAGGAATCAACTCAAATTGTATCCATTAATTTACTACCCACACTCATTCTTTGGTTTGGAATAGCAAACAAGTTTCACTTATACAGAGTCGAACATTTTTATGGAAACGTCTAATTTCCGTTCTACTCAGCAGTCAGTGCTGATTTTTGACAGCTATCAATCTGAACTTACTGAAATATTCTACTAGATCTGAACTCAATAAGTTGACAGTTTTTCTAAATGATTACAATTAAACAGAATGCATGTCAAGTGATTCAGCTCAGTTCAAGTGAGATATTTCAGTTAGTTCAGATTGAAAGAGCATCACTCACTCATATGTAAAATGATGCAGTAAGCTGTTTTTCGAGTGGATCACCCTGTATGTGATTTTTTTTTTCAGATAGCTCTTGATATGAACTTTAGTATGTCTTTCACTGGCGGTTGCGGAAATATGAGATGAAATAATAATTGGGAAAAATTGTTTTATAATTGGGTTTTCATTGATAGGTTATTATCAAACAGCTGAATTCATTCCATAACTTCTTCCACCGAGTTGACTGCTTGAGGAGATTCGTTGATAGGATAGGTTATAATCAAGCGGGTCAACTATTGAAAGCTTTGTATAGCATTTTGTATTAAGTATACACGTAAAAATCAAATAGCAGACATTTTTCCATCTTATTTTGCAACGAACAATCACATATAGACTGAAACTCCATATCAAGGGTTTCCAGAAAAAAAAAATCACATACAGGGTGATTCATTTGAAAATTGCTTCTATAAATACGAGATCGATTTAATATCAAGAGCTTTCTGAAAAAATATTATTCAGGATTCAGTATGCATTGTAACTTATGATATGGCAGACTAGACTGTCAAGGCTGCTCCAGTCAGATACCCTCCAAAATGTCATCAGGACTTGTCGAAATGTCGTGAATGTATACGAGACTTCCGAAGTAGGCAGACAATTTTTTAAAATAATGTGCTCTATGTTAATACACAGGAAGATTTTTCAAAACATTTGAAACATTGTAGAAAGGGGTCAAAATTTGGGGGCCTAATTTATGATAAATGTGCATCATCTCACATGTACCAAACTGAAAAAATGATAATTGAGACATATCATGAAAAAGCGAATATTATATAATTTAAAAAAAAAATGACAATTTTAGAGTTACCACGCGCATCCTAAGTACTGCAGGTATCTTTTTTCAAAACCATATGAAAATAGCGATAGTGCAATATTAGGTAGAAGACCATATGTTTCCCCCAGAGTAAATTTTCAGCATTGTTGTTTTCATAACATTTATAAGTAAACAGTATAATTAAGTACTAACGAGATGTATCAGACACTACGGTCCATTATCAGTCGTATGAAATGATTGTGGGCAGGAAAAAATTAGCGCATCAAATTGAAACTATAAATTCAAGATTGATGGTACTATAAGATCAAATAGTGATAGTAGAACCGACCATCTGCTAAGGTAAAGTGGGTAGACCTCACTAACAACACTCGCTATATTTCCCTCGCTCTTTCACTCACTCCCCCATTCACTATTAAGACTGATTATATGTATGACTAAGTAAAAGGAGACAAAATAATATTAATCATTTATTCATACAGAGAATTGATTTTTGATAACATTCTTTTCAATTGATAAAGTAATCCCTCATCAGGACAAAATATTCCAAAGATGCTCCAACTGAACGGTTCGGCTTTCACAACCCGTCTAGTGTATTCGCTGAACTTGTAGTATGTATTTTTATCGAAAAAATATATATTTCCGTCGATATAGCGAAAAGCTGATATTATACCTGCGGGAATTCCAGGAAAGATATAACTAAGTGGGCCGCGATTGCTCATGTTACCATTTTCATTGAATTCAATGTAAGAATCATTGTTATATAACAAATAAGCCTTTCCACTGTTTGTTTGAAAGACAGCATTTATCTTTGCATTAGAAGGCAATGGGAAGAGGAAGCTTTGATGGATTTCTAAATTTGGAAAAGCTGCTGCATAATATATACTATCATTTATGAATGTTACTAGATCACCCCCAGAATTTTGGAAGACATGAGAAACTCGAGAAGACTTTAAATCTTCAGGGAGATAATCATCAAGCAATTCTGGCTGTGATGAAATACACATATCGATCAAATCGATTTTCCACAAAAATCTATTGCATCCTACATACATGCGATAGTTTGAAAACTGGGGTGCTGTAGCTAGAAACATAAAATCTGGCACTTGAATTTCGCATAATTTTGTTGTAGTTATCAGCGGTGGCTTTGAGGTTATGCTAGGAATGTCTACGCTCTGGGGTTTGGTTGGGAGCACTGCCAAAACTGTGGTTGGGCTATCTACGTGCCAGGATTTTGCTTTTTGCGATTTAGTTGTCGGAGCTGTTGAAGTTCGTCGATTGTTTTCAGTTTTTTGACCATACAAATATTCTATCGCCCTCTTATCATCTATATCGAATGATGCTGGACTTGCTTGATACCAAGGATACATAATAGATGTATTGACGCCACTGTGGCCCAGCCCAAGAGCATGGCCGATTTCGTGAATCAGGACCATCAATAAATTAGTTTGGCCATCAGGAGAAGTACTATTTCCAAGATACCATTTTTCTTCTGCATCAAGATGAATCTCGACACATTTGCTGTTTTCATTTGGGAAATATGCATGAGCTAAAACTTTTCCAGGGCCGTCGAAATTATGTGGACACTTGGAAGTGCCTTGGCAGTCTGCTCGGAAATTGTGATTTTTTCGAATAACAGTTATGGTAATATCAGGCTTTTTCCTGTAAGGGTTTTGCACATTTTCAAACTTCAAATTCGATATTTCCTCCCACCTATCGAATGCCATCTTGGCTGTATCACGATGTACCTGTTTAGCTTGAGGAAAATACCAGCGTAACTTGGTTTTGTTCCATTTCGAATGTATCATGAAATTATTTTCTCCTACAGAACAACGCGGACTATTCAGCAGTCGTAGAGTTTCGTTATTCAGCGATCCACTCACAGGGAGATTGTATGTCTCGTGAAATGTCATTAATGCTGATTCTATATCGGTGACAGCATTATCCGTTGTATTTATGTAGCCGAAACGCTTCAAAAAGGCACCTGCATATTCTATCGTATCATTGCCAGTAGCGGAAACTGACGCGATGATTGAAAGCAATAGCACATGCTCACTCTTCAACATCTTGATTAACACTGATCAATAGTTGAAGTGAACATAATTATTGTAAAATTCTATCAGAATATAATTGAGTCTCACCAAATTCATCATATATCGCAAACACCACCTGTCAAACGTCATCTATCAAACTGAGTCAGGCATAGATGGAGCGAATTGTATGGAAAACTTCTCTACTCCATGGACATTCCTCATATGGCGGTACATGTCAGTTCTATTCATGAATTTCCCACATTTCTCACACAATATTTGGCGTCGATCATAGCTAAATTGCCATTTCTTGAAACTTTCATAACTCTCCCATGAGTTGATGGTGAAGGGAATCCACTCTCCACTATTGAGACCACGTTGTATATAACATTTGTCACAAAGTTCTCGTGTAGTAATAGGATATATCTGATGACAGCGCTCACAAATATTCACCATGACTACTCTACAAGATAGTTGGATGTGGAATGATTTGTGAAGCTTTTGTTGAGACATAGTTGACTCTCAACTTACTCTTTATAGATCAGAGATGAAGGAGTAATCTGCGCATGCGTCTGAGGAGGTCGAGTGTGCATACCTACGGAACTCAGTTCAAGATAGATCAGAGATGAAAGGGTTATCTGCGCATGCGTCTGAGAAGGAGGAATGTGTGACCTTAGTTCAAAATCTTTCAATTCATCGCATTCTATCACTGACCACGCTCGAGTGTAGACGTATTTGCATATCAATTAAAGTTGTCATTTTTCCAGTTATCGAAATGTCGCTGTTTGCAGACTTGGTGAAGCATATAGCTACACTTCTGGGCTTTCAAACATCTGCGTATGATGAAAACAGAACAAGAGAAGGGCTTCGCGAATGTCAGAAGGGGATAAGGCGTTTGAATAAAGCTTTGAGATGTTCTGAGACCTTGGGTGAGAAGCAGCATCTGGAGGCCTGTCTCCGGAATCTAAAATCGTTTCGAAATCAGTTCAAAGCGCTTCACAAGAAGGGGTCCGGACTTGCATCAAGAAAGGAGACTGCACGAGATAGAGTTCGCTGGGATGATTTCCAATCAGCTTTTCAGAGTCGAATTCGAACAGGAATCATTTCCAATTTGGCACATAAAGATCCTGCGACCTTCTTGACCGATTGCCGAGCTCTATTCAGAATACGCATACAGAACGCGGTAAAAAGAGATGCTGCAGTCAAAGTGAATACTGTTTTCTGCGGGGAGTTTGAGCTTGTGAAGGGAGATAGTGTACTTAGTGAGTACAAGTACTTTACTACCTCAAACTCACCCATCTACAAGGATGCAGATCTGAATAGTTGGTTCGATGAAAAGGTTACAACACCAATTCTGAGAGAATTGGAGGAATTTCAAGAACGTGATAGCGGATGGGCACTGAAAAGTATCATCAATCTGGGGGTGAACATCAACAAATTTACTCTCCAACTTGGCTCATCATATGTTGAGTTGCCACCACAGATAAAACGGAAGCGAGCCTGCATCAACGTCAAAAACGAAGATGAATTATGCTTTGGTTGGGCGATAACATCAGCGTTGTATCCTGATGTGCATGATACAGATAGAACATCCTCATACCCCCACCCTTCTACAGTTCTCAACCTCAAGGGCATTCACTTCCCTATGACTGCCAAACAGATTCCTCGGTTTGAGAAACAAAATGGTATATCAATAAATCTGTACATTCTGCAAAAGGAATCCAAAAACTTACAAACTCTCCCCACATACTTAACGAGGGAAAAGAAAGAGAGACACATCAACCTCCTACTTGTCCAGGATCAATACTTTGATGAAAAAGATGCTCACGAGAAGCTTTCATCCTCCATTAAGTATCACTATTGTTGGATAAAGGATCTATCCAGACTTCTTTCTTTTCAGCTCAGTAAAGATGGACATAAGAAATTCTTTTGCGACCGCTGTCTTCATTATTTCTATTCTGAAGAAAAGCTCACTGAACATGTTGAAAATTGTATAAGAATGAATGAGACCGCAATCAGAATGCCGGAGGAAGGTAAAAACATTCTGAAATTCAAGAATCATAAGAACAAGGAGAAAGTCCCATTCATGGTATATGCCGATTTGGAGTCTGTTTTGGAGGAAACTGGTGATACGAAAAAGCCACAGCACCACGTTCCAGCTGCCATTGGATACTTCATGAAGTGTTCCTATGACGATTCTCTCTCTTTTTATCATTCATACCGAGGGCAGGACTGTATGGCATGATTTGCTGATGAGCTGAAACAGTTGGCTGAGGATATGTCCACCGTGTTTTTATGTTCATATAACATCGACATGACCGCTGAGCAGGAAGCAGAATTCAGAAAAGCAACACACTGCCACATTTGCGAACAACCTTTTGGACCTGACGTGAAAGTTCGTGACCATACGCATCTCATTCCGGAAAACAACTACAGAGGTCCAGCCCATGAAAGCTGCAACGTTCGGTACCAGGATAGCCATGTGATACCTGTTGTGTTCCACAATCTGAGTGGTTATGATGCAAATTTCATTATCGAGGATATAGCATCTAAAATGCATGGTCAAGTCGATCTGTTACCAATCACCAAAGAAAAATACATCTCTTTCACCAAACACAACGAAGATTCACGCATAAGCTTCCGATTCATTAATTCGTTTCGCTTCATGAACTCTTCTCTGGATAAGCTGGTATCATATTTAACCGAATTTCCGAATCTGAAATCACAATTTTGTGACCTTCCAGAAGAACATTTTCGATTATTGACTAAGAAGGGTGTCATGCCATACGACTATACAGATTCATTTGAGCGCTTCAGCGAAACCCGACTGCCCCCTATTGAGTCCTTCTACAACAAACTGGACGATAAACCTTGTCCACGCAGACATTATCTGAGAGCCAAGCTTGTGTGGTCGAAGTTCAATTGTCAAGACTTGGGTCAGTATGTTGACCTCTACATGAAGACAGACATCATGCTTTTGGTTGATGTTTTCGAGCAGTTCCGTGCCAGCTGTCTCAGAACTTATAATCTTGATCCTGCTCACTATTATACCTTACCAGGATTCACTTGGGATGCTATGTTGAAATATACGAATCAGAAGTTGGAGCTTCTCACTGATGTGGATATGTTCTTGTTTGTTGAAAGAGGAATTCGAGGAGGCCTCAGTCAAATTTGTTCGAAGAGAAGAGCTCATGCTAATAATAGATATATGCCCACCTATGATTCTACGAAGCCCGATTCATATCTGATGTATTATGATGTTAATAATCAATATGGGTGGGCTATGTCCCAAGCATTACCGTATGGAGGATTTGAATGGGTCGACACTAATCTTGATGTAACAGCTATTGCTTATTGGTTGCTTATTGCATAAGCTTCATGATACTCACAAAGACCTACCTTTCTGCCCCGAACATATTAATCCAAAAACTATGGAACCTCCGACAAGATCTTCTCAACCCACCAAGTTGATGGCTACGTTGAATCATAAAACAAACTATGTTATACATTACCGAACTCTCAAACAAGCATTAGCTCATGGATTAGTGTTGAAAAAGATCCATCGAGTGCTCAGGTTTCAACAATCCACATGGCTCAAATCATATATTGACCTCAACACTAAGAATATATTTGAAAAGAATCTGTTCAAGCTTATGAACAATGCTGTTTTCGGGAAAACGATGGAAAATATCAGGAAGCGGGTGAACGTTCGACTTTTGACAGAGTGGGCTGGGAGATATGGTGCTGAGGCTTATATTTCGAAACCTGAGTTCAAGAACTGCACAATTTTCAACGAGAACTTGGTTGCAGTCGAACTCAAGAAATTGGAAATCTGGTTAAACAAGCCCATATACGTTGGTCAAGCCATTCTAGATCTTGCGAAGACAACTTTATATGGCTTTCACTATGAATATATGTATGGAGAGTTTGGTGATCAATGTACCATCTGTTACACCGACACAGACTCACTCATCTATGAGATTAGAAATCTAGATCCGTATAAAGTTATGAAGCGAGATTGTTACACCCACTTCGATACTTCCGACTATCCTAGTGATAACATTCATGGAATTCCACAGGTTAACAAGAAAGTTCTAGGAATGATGAAAGATGAGAATAGTTCTGTCATAATGACAGATTATGTAGGCCTACGATCTAAATTATACTCCACAAAGGTGCTGGTAACTAGAGATGATATAATGAGGAAGAAGATAGAGTTACAAGAGGAAGATTATGATGATGACGAAATCTGCAATATCATATTGAATATGGGTGTTATTAAGAAAGCGAAAGGTGTGAAATCATCCGTCGTCAAAACAGCCATCACTTTCGAGGATTATGTGAAATGTCTGGAAACACATGAGCAGAAAACCGTTTCACAAAATTTTATCAGAGCGGAAAAGCATCAGGTTCATTCCATCTTGCAAGAAAAAATTGCTCTCAGCTCTCAAGATGACAAGAGGTATATTGTTTCAGGATCATATGAAACTCTTCCTTGGGGGCACTATTCTATCAAAGATGAAGCTATGGAGATCGATAGTTAAGGGCCTAACCCAATATCGAATCTAACATTGAATGTGTGATGAATGGTTGGGTTTGCAATCAAATGAGATACCCCATAAAATGAAAGTTATCAGACGAATTGATGAAGTGTTTCTATTAATTTAGGAATGAATCTTCGTGCTGTCTGGAGAAAA